TGTTTTAATAACATAATATTCATAAGATAGATTAATAAAATATTGAATCTGAATATTCATAAGCAATAAGGATAATCCAATCAATTTTGTTGATTGGATTATTCACGGCTGAGTAGTTGTGAATCAGTGACACGTGCCCTCATTATTTTATAAAAATATTGAATATCTATTTAAGTTCGTTTTCAAAATATTCCAAAAGTTTCCACTAAAATAGACAACGTGAAAAGAATGTAAACATTTTTCCTGTGTGCATATACGATGACTTTAAAAGAGTCCTGGGTGCACTTTGTATGTCCTGAGTGCACTCAGGAGGTCCTGGGCAGTGTTTAGACATACCCTTTGATTTGCAACTGTATTTTTTCTGTTTTGGCACATACTTATATATGAACCTCATTAAATTCGATCTCAAAATAGCGAATATAAAGGAACAGATATTTTAAAGTCTTAGTAAATTCCATTGAGCACAAAACTAATCCAAATTCGATTTCAATTATTTCGTGATTCTAAAATACGTTTTTTTTGTGGCAGAAATTGCAATTATTTTTTTTATCTGATATGACTTTGAAACACTGATTTAAGATTTATATTGTCCACAAAATATCATAAAATACAAGGTTGTTAATTGTTTAATTATGTCGTAATTTGCTTGGTCAGTGGCGGATTCAGGAGCTGACATATCGCTTCCCCTTTGATTGGATAATATATCATTTTTAGCATAATTAAAATCATCATTTTTTTTATCCTGGCTACACGTGGCGTTATTTCTCCGTCTGTATAACACAGCTAGTGAATTAGTCTAAATATCCATCCAATGCATAGTCCCTGGCCAACAATAGCAACAACGTCCTTTTGATGATCAATTCATTATAAAAAAAAACAACTAAACTCTCTAAACTAAACTATGTGGACAGTGGGTCATCGCACACAGGTTTGTTTAACAAGACAGCTGATTGGATAAATGTGATATATTGTCACGCCTACATTAAACTGTTGTCCAATCAAATGCCAGCAGAAACCTGTCAATAAAAAGGTTATTGCAAGCGTGGATAAGTTAGAGATTTGATTGTGTATTCGATATTTGAACATAAAGTTAGATAATCACTATTCATTTAGAATTAAATTGCGAAGAAAGTGTTCGCGTAACAACCCTCCCCTTTTCCCATTTTCGCCTTCTTATTTTTACACTTTCTTTTTTAACAGAAAAGTATTAAATATGAGCGTACTGCAAGTTTCTGAATTTTACAAGCATTCTATATAGCGACTTGTGATTTCCGGGAACGTCATATTTTCAAGATTTCACAGACCTCTGAAAAAGTTAGAACATACAAGTTTCATCTACCATTTGCAGAAAAAACAATACCAAATTATATTTGTAAATTGGAAGAGATTAAGAATTATAGTTTAATATCCGTACTAAAAATCGTCTGAAATATAACAAAACATATTTCTCTCTGCCTGAATGCAATCGAAAGCAAATTTTCATTTTATTCTTCATCTATTTGCAAAAGACGAAGAATTCTCCTTAAAACTGTAAATTATTAAACAGGCATACTAACTTTAAAGGATAAAATACAAGTTTGTACTACCATCCAAGGAAATAAGTGTTTCATAAAGTAACTAATCCTTAATTCACAACCGTCAAAACTCAGGACTCATTTTTGATATTTACCTGAGAGATCATAAAGGACATACATCTACCAAGAACTTATTATAACCAAAATGGCAAAAATGAAACAATATCTATTTTTTTTTTGGTAGACGAGTAGCAAATTGAATAAGGAAATGTTATTGAAAGAGAATTAAGATATATGATAATTTTTCCAAGCAAAGTGGCAAAAACATGCATATATAGAGTTACGTAGGTGCAAAACAAAACTATATATTAATAGTCAATTTCGACTATTTAATAAAGGATTATAGGTCGAACACGACACACGATTCTTGATTTCCAATGTACATGATTTAAAACCGTGTTTTTTCTTCTACAGATTGCATTTTGAAGAACACATGCTTGGCCATGATCGTTGAATGTTCAGCGTACAATATTACATAATATTCAGGATGATTTCAACAAAAAGCAAACGAAAAAGATTTATTTTTTTAAATCCGAGCATTCCTTAAATTCAACATTTAAAACCGTTTTGTTTTACGCAAAACATATAAAATTGAGAATGACTGATGTACTTTTTAATCTCTCTAACACTTAGGATTGGTAGTCCCGACAGCTTTCTCTCCATTAGTAAGGGAGGTCCTATTCGTAACAGTAAGCGAACACTGAAAAGTCACAGGACAGGAAGTGACAATTGTTTACGTATGTAAGAGAAATATCTTGAAAAATTACTTTGTATTACATATATTCTTTTTACAGTTTATGAAATAGTTCATTAGCCTTGGTAAATGAAGATTTATTAAATTTTAATCATGCAAATGATATAATATTTCTTAGCACCATGAAGCTGTTTAGGTACCAATCCACTTTGATAGTTTGTTTACTAAACAATTATTTGTTCATTTAATACATTTGTTTACAGAGTTGGTTTATATATACAATAGTTCAAGATACATACAAAATATATTTTTTTAAATAAGTATTTTCTCTTTTTCAAAGAAAATAGTCTCAGAAACTGAATTGTGACCTTTCGTCTGTGACCTTTTGTCCACAAGCACGCATTATTTATGAGTAAAGTTGGAACAAAGGTCAATTTGGCTCTGATTCGCAACAATTGTTCTCTTGTTAACATGACCTTTTTTGTCGACACGCGCTCGCCGTATCAGGCTAGAACAAACCAATGCATATCAATGTCACATGTGTCTTTTCCTCGACTGAATGTTATTAGCAATATTAATATTGGATACAATTGTAACGTAATGAATTGCATTTGATCCTAGTCCTAAGTTTAATTTTTGGTTGAATCAGTTGAACATCTAAGTGATCATCGATGTGCAATATTTGACACTGGACATTATTTTAGGAGCGATGCAATACAAATAATGTATTTCTATCAATCATTTACTTCAGTTAAAGACTTTTGAATGTAACAATATGGTACAAATCGATTTGATTTACTGAATTGCATATTTCTTTTTATCGAAATGAAAATATTATAAACTGCTCCCGGTTAATATAAATAAGAAGATGTGGTATGTGTGCCAAATAATCATCTCCATCCAAGTTACAAAGTATAAAACAATTATAGATTAAAAATACGGCCTCAACACGGAGCTTTGGCTCACACCGAACAGCAAGCTATAAGGGTCCCCAAAATGACTAGTGTAAAACAATTCAAAATGGAAAAACAAAGGTATAATCTATAAGTACAGTCATTTCGCTACGTTATTCTATAGCTTTTTGGTCAATTTCGAAAAAGCAAGTAAGCATCTCACTGTTTTTTAAATGAGAAGTAACGCTGGTGTTATAAAATAAATCTGATACGAAACAGAAATATAAACCGTACACAAGATTTTATCGATTGTTGTTTGATATTTTTCTATATGATTTATTCTTGTATTAGTTCTTGCTAAAAAAAACTTGATGATAAAAAAAAATCAAGAGAGGTATCGAAATCGGTCTTTATAGGTACCTAATGGTAAATATAAACTGTCAACTATATTCTTAAAATATTCTTTATTCTTGTTGCATTTTTTTTGAAAAAATAATGTTTTATTTGTCAATGTAATAATTTTACCCGGTAAATCCTTATATAAGATAAAACATGGAACTTTATTCATTTTACGTCCATAGATAAAACATCATAAGCGTTGCATGGGTAATTATTTAGATAGTTTATGACAACCCGTTTCGGTTGACTGCTTAGATAATCCGTTTATTGAAATGTAAATAACTTTCACCAAGCAACTGTCATCTGTATAATATTTAAAAATTTAAAGTAAATTAGATACTTAGAATATATTTTTCTTGACAAATTTTATATGGATCAGAACTATTATTTTACATTAGAAACAAAAAATGTTTAAGAAAATTTCAGAACATCTTTGGGATATATTACTTATCATTATATCTTTACGGGCGGAATGAATAAATACAGGACTACTTTATGTCAGAAAGCACGATTGCAAAGTTTTAATGACTAACACATTTCCCGGTTAAGACAATTAATCTTTTCTTATATAACCAATTAAATGTTAAAAATTCTATCGGGAAAAAATGAATTGTACGTTTGCATACGTTATTTAATGAAATAGATATACAGTATTACATTAAAAGACCACAAAAGAATATCCTCCTAGCTATGCCGATTTTATTCATAAAGGGGAGTAACCCCTGATAAACACAGATAAAGTGTCGCTCGTTTTATTTAAAATATTTAAATTCTTAACACGACTGAACACGATCTTACAGCAACTAAACAGATTTTTTACCTTTGGTCTTATTTTATCTGAACGTGATCTAATCAAGTCTTATTTGAACGCTAGAAGAATCTGTCTTGTTTATCTTGACCCGACTGATCTGACTGAACACGATATATCGGAACAGAGTCTGAAAGTCTAAACAGGTCTTAACGTTTTTCCCTAGCAGTAAATCAAGGCGATTAAGACTTGATCAGACCAAAATGACCGTTTCAGACTTAAATCTTGCTACTAGTGTAACAGCTGATACTGATGTCATGTGAGCTTAAAAGAAAGTACGAAAGAATCTAGTCAACTCTGTTTATATAATAAATATAATTTCATATGAATATGACACATTTTTTGTTGGTGTAACATTGAAATGCTGATTGTTTGTAATGAAAAATATACAAACAAAACCCAGCTAAATCCACAGAGTGGAACACAGCATGGTATGAACATACAGCTTATCATTTATGGTAGGTGTAAAAGTCAAATTAAAAAATATTATATATTTTTTATTGGACTGAAGACGTTTATGGCATACCATTTAGCACTGGTATCAACCCAACAGGTAAAATAAAATCTATCTAAGTTTATTAATATCAGGACACATTTATTAAATATTAACCCAGCAAGGACTGTACACATACCTTTTTCCTTGTGATTCTAGTTCTTTCTTAATTATAGTCTTGTCAGTAGATCTTTGTTTCCTAAAATATTGTAATGGCAATATACATGGCTTTTTTTTAGTTTATGGTGATGGTGTTCATAGAGCTCATAAATTCAGAAATGATCCATGTTAACTTATTTGATCCTTTGAATAAACTTATTTTTAATTTAACAATGTAGTGAGTTCTTTGAATGTTGCCTTTATAAGACTTACACTGATTTTGTTTTAATAGTTTAATACATAACTAAACATGTGTTACTATCCATTTTAGGCAATTTAAAAAGAGAGGTGAAAGATTCCAAGGGATATTTAAACTCTTAAGTCGAAAACAAACTGACAATGTGATGGCAAAAAATGAAAAAAACATCAAAAGACAAATAACAGTATACAAAATGAAACATAGAAAACAAAGACTGAGCAACACGAACCCCAACAAAAACCAGGGGTGCTGTCAGTTTACTTTTATGAAATGTATTAAATAGCTTAAATCTGATGAGTAAACAATATACCTTACCATATATGACATAGAAAAGAATGAAAGTTCAAGTCACTGAGTTTGTATTAGTCTCGAGCTCCAATTGCTCCTTGAAAAATGTTATTGTATCTGAAAAATTTGCTATCTATCTAGACAATTCTGTCCATTGTGTTTTTTTGCAACATTTCTCTTAAGCTTTTTTTTCTTACCTAGACTTATTAATTTTTCTATGTGATTGAACAAGGATGATTAAGTTAGCATTGTATTTAAGTTAACTGATATGATAGATGATAGTACTTAAACATAGATAATTTCATACAAAAATAGCACTTTGTATTCTAGTCCAAGGGATTCTTTTTGCTACTTTTGGTGTTTATACTAATGGCTTACAGATCAAGTTTGTCTTTATTGCTGGCTGGCATACTTCTGATGGAAGTATGGCTCTTGTACTTTCATGAAAGTTGTATTAGTCTAGATATATTTGTCACAATTGTATAATAAGTTACAGCTTTTCTGACTGGTCTCCTTTTTATATATTTAGTCCTTGAACAAAAAATTATTCTGGTCCCACTTGTAGGCTGTTGTCAGGTATAAGAAGTTATATATATATAATGATACCTTATTGATCGACTTTGCTTTTTATTCTGGTTGATTCAATTTTCATAGAATTATTGCTTGGTCCACATTATATTTACTATCTATAGTGTTTGTGACATATTGTGATCCTCAAGTGAAAATTACCTTGTTGCTTGAGATTCTTCTTCATTGATTATTGAATTACTAGCAGTTTTTTGTTTCCTGAAAATAAATACAATAATAAACATGAAATATTTTAAAATGAATGTTACAAAATTATACAAAACAAGTTCATGTGACCACAACTTCATGGTTAACTACCTTGAGCCAAAACTTTAACCTAACATTGCAGAGTTCTGGAAAAGTGGTGGCCCAAAGGTCCTAACCATCAAAACTTTAACCTAACATTGCAGAGTTCTGGAAAAGTGGTGGTCCGATGGTCCTAATCATCAAAATGTTGGAAAGGACAGACACAATTTTGGTATTTTGCAATAGAAATAATAGTGAGGACCCAGCCGATTTTCTTAAAGGACCACCAGGAATTTTTTTTTTTGAGAACTCTGTTAAACATTGGATGGACGGACACACAAACACTCTGACCTGAAAACACTGCACTCCTACTACCTAAGGTGGAGCTTAAAAATGCAAACAATTGGTTAAAAGTGTTATAAAGGTCTATATTTGTTGAACTAGTGCTGTTGAGTTGCTGTCTCATTCATATTAAACACCCCTCTCTATTCAAGGCAAAACACAATGAAACCTTTTCAACCTTTCAGTAATAAATATTATCAATTAGCACAAGACTTTAATTACCTTTTCAAGGAAAACTTTTTCCAACGAATTGCTTTTGCCATACGATTGCTGACTTGATTTTTGGTATCACTTGAGCTGTCTAAGTCTGGGAAACTGTTTACCACATCAATAACTGCCCTTCCAAATAACAGATCTTTCTTACTTTTGAGGTCATATTGTTCAATAGTATTGATGATGTATTTCTGGATAAAACAGGTCTTAATATACATTTACTATATTAAATTTTTAGTTTGATAATATGAAACAAACTTCTGGTAAAATATTATAATTAATTGAGATTTGTAAAAAAAGATCTAACAGGTGAGCTTTGAGTCAGATTTGAAGAATCTTCAAATTAACCTATAAGAACATGTCTTGATCAACCTCTGCTTTTACAGACCATCTTGGTTTGGAAGGTTATTAGTTTTTGCAACTGCTTTCTAAAATTCATAGAAAATAAACCTATTTTGTACGACCATTTACTGGTGGCTCAATAGAATAGAGAATGGAAACCGAATTAAAAACAAGTGTGCACACACTGAAATGTCTCACCTTCTTTACTAACCATTGATTTTATGTTGATAGTCCTAAATATAAAGTTTTACTACAAGTAACACATAAACTTAACATGATCCAAGAAAATGAGGTCAAGGTCAGATAAACCAAACGAGAAATACATGTACACCTTACAATCATTCAATAAACCAAACATAGTTGACCTATTGCTTATAGTTTCTAAGAAACAGTCTTAACCAAGAAAACTTAACATTGACTAATGAACCATGAAAATGAGGTCAAGGTTAGATGAACCATGCCAGGCAGACATGTACACCTTACAATCAATTTATGCATTAAATATAGTTGACCTATTGCTTATAGTATCTAAGAAACAAACTTAACCATGAAAACTTAACATTGACCAATGAACCATGAAAATGAGGTCAAGGTCAGATGATACCTGCCAGACAGACATATACACCTTACAATCCTTCCATACAACAAATATAGTTGATCTATTGCTTATAGTTGAAGAAAAACAGACCAAAACACAAAAACTTAACACTGAGAAATGAACCGTGAAAATGAGGTCAAGCTCAAATAAAACCTGCCAGACTGACATGTACATCATAAAATATTTCCATACACCAAATATAGTTGACCTATTGCATTTAGTATTAGAAAAAAAGACCAAAACTCAAAAACTTAACTTTGACCACTGAACCATGAAAATGAGGTCAAGGTCAGATGACACCTACCAGTTGGACATGTACACCTTACAATTATTCTATATACCAAATATAGTAGACCTACTGCTTATAGTATCTGATAAATGGACTTGACCACGAAAACTTAACCTTGTTCACTGATTCATGAAATGAGGTCGAGGTCAAATGAAAATTGTCTGACAGGCATGAGGACCTTGCAAGGTACGCACATACTAAATATAGTTATCCTATTACTCATAATAAGAAAGAAATTAACATTACAAAAAATGTTGACTTTTTTTTCAAGTAGTACCTGAACCATGAAAATGAGGTCAAGGACAATGGACATATGACAGACGGAAACTTCATAACATAAGGCATCTATATACAAAGTATGAAGCATGCAGGTCTTCTAGCTTCTAAAATATAAAGCTTTTAAGAAGTTAGCTAATGCCACCGCCGCTGCCGCCGGATCACTATCCCTATGTTGAGCTTTCTGCGACAAAAGTCGCAGGCTCGACAAAAACACACAAGACTAACAAAGGCTAGAGGTTCCGGACTTGAGACAGACTTTAAAATGCAGCAGGGTTAAGCATGTTTTGTGAGATTTCAACCCTACCCCATATACTTCTAGCCAATGTGGAATAAACAAACTAACAGCAAAACTCACAGTAATACTCAGTTCAAAAGAAGTCAGAGTCCAATGTTAGAATAGGTAAGAGAAGAAACTAAGCAAAATGACAATGACCAACATACATTAACAAAGGACTACTAGCAGTTACTGACATGCCAGCTCCAGACTTCAATTAAACTGATTGAAAGATTATGTTTTCATCATATGAAAATCAACCACAGTCCCTCCCGTTAAAAGTTTAGTATCATGCCATCATAAATTATATGAGAAGAACATAGCCCTTATCATGCCAACAACTGGTTTTAGAATCAATGTGTTTATTTTTGTACAGTAGAACCAATCTGTAGTTTTAATAAAGATTGGTTCTACTGTACAAAATTAGTGTAAAATAAAGAGTCTCATTAAAAAACATTTCCTCCTTTAGTTAAAAAAATCATGTTCTACAAATGGTTTTTTTTTTGCATTTAAGCCAATGTTTTAGAGTGTTTTTTTAACATTTACAAGAAATTTTAAGTGAAACCAAAACTAGTAAACCCCATTTTTTTACAATATTTTGTGAAAAAAAAAAACATTTTGAGCTATTCCTCACTAATGATGCCCCAGTAATAAGTGTTTGGTAAATGGGAAATTGATGTTCAATGAATATGAAAATGCATTACATGGTATAACATGATCACATGAAGGTTGATCCCAAATTTCAGGATGCCCTGATTTGCAGTTCCTGAGAAAAATGTGATAGCAATTTCATGGGACAGAAGAAAAGATAGACAGACCAACAGAGGTAAACAAATAGACGTCCCTAATTAGACCTGGAGTATAATGACACACTCAGTATTTATTCATTGTTTGGAAAAAATCTGGAACATATTGATCAGTGCTACAAAGGATAATTGCTTTTGGTCAATATCCTCCTACATACAATTTTTGTGTTTCAATATATCAAAATGTTATTCTATATAACTGATCATCACTTATGTTTACCCTCAAACATAACCTTTTAATTGACCTAGGCAGTCATGTTCATACCTGCATCACAGAATGAGCTAATGATCCCCTTGTAAAATATTCAATGGTTTCTGACTTCATTCGAAGAAAATCTAGTTCACTAGTCTGAACTGCCACTGATTCATGTTGGGCATAGCAGGCACAAGATTTTCCCAACTGATAATTTATACAGCATACACAGTTAAACGGACACATCTGAAAAAAGAAATAGCTATTAATTGAAATATGTCTTACTTACATTTGTATCTAAACAACTGATAAATTATTTATTTACTCGTTTATTTCTTATTCTACTCTACATAAAATTCTGATTTATTTGGTTAATTCTTTATCATTATTACATTTTCTTTAAATATTACAGCATATACATGTGTTCACATAGATTATAAGTTATTACACTCAAACATTTTACTTAATTCAAATTAATATAAAGCACTAATGATAAACAAATGGTATGCACATATCTCACATAACCTAAATTATTATGTTTACAGACATGTTTACAACTTACAGAAAGATGTGACAAATCAGCATTTTAGGAATAACAGTGCATGTACTGTGTTTGAAGAGTTTGAAGAGTTGCCACAGTCAGTTGGGGATTTGACAATCACAATGCAGTTTTATTACATTTCTATAACTACATACTGGGAAGACACAAGGATTGATATTTGCAACATTCAAATCCTGAATTGACAGTGACAAACTTGTGAAATATTCAAAATTAAACCTTTGAATTATCCTGGAACATTGATTGCCAGTGTAATGTTGTGACCAGTAACTCCTGACTATCAACTGAGTACCAAGGGATGGAAGGATAAGATGGAACATTGATTGCCATAGTGTAATGTTGTGACCAATAACTCCCGACCATCAACTAAGTACCAAGAGATGGAAGGATAAGGTGGAACATTGATTGCCATAGTGTAATGTTGTGACCAATAACTCCTGACTATCAACTAAGTACCAAGGGATGGAAGGATAAGGTGGAACATTGATTGCCATAGTGTAATGTTGTGACCAATAACTCCCAACCATCAACTAAGTACCAAGAGATGGAAGGATAAGGTGGAACATTGACTGCCATAGTGTAATGTTGTGACCAATAACTCCTGACCATCAACTAAGTACCAAGGGATGGAAGGATAAGGTTGAACATTGATTGCCATAGTGTATGTTGTGACCAATAACTCCCGACCATCAACTAAGTGCCAAGGGATGGAAGGATAAGGTGGAACATTGATTGCCAGTGTTATGTTGTGACCAATAACTCCTGACCATCAACTAAGTACCAAGGGATGGAAGGATAAGGTTGAAAATTGATTGCCATAGTGTATGTTGTGACCAATAACTCCCGACCATCAACTTAGTACCAAGGGATGGAAGGATAAGGTGGAACATTGATAGCCATAGTGTAATGTTGTGACCAATAACTCCTGATTATCTACTAAGTACCAAGGGATGGAAGGATAAGGTGGAACATTGATTGCCATAGTGTAAAGTTGTGACCAATAACTCCTGACCATCTACTAAGTACCAAGGGATGGAAGGATAAGGTGGAACATTGATTGCCATAGTGTAATGTTGTGACCAATAACTCCCCACCATCTACTAAATACCAAGGGATGGAAGGATAAGGTGGAACATTGATTGCCATAGTGTAATGTTGTGACCAATAACTCCTGACTATCAACTGAGTACCAAGGGATGGAAGGATAAGGTGAAACATTGATTGCCATAGTGCATGTTGTGACCAATAACTCCCGACCATCAACTAAGTACCAAGGGATGGAAGGATAAGGTGGAACATTGATTGCCAGTGTAATGTTGTGACCAATAACTCCTGACTATCAACTGAGTACCAAGGGATGGAAGGATAAGGTGGAACATTGATTGCCATAGTGTAATGTTGTGACCAATAACTCCTGACAATCTACTAAGTACCAAGGAATGGAAGGATAAGGTGGAACATTGATTGCCATAGTGTAATGTTGTGACCAATAACTCCCGACCATCAACTAAGTACCAAGGGATGGAAGGATAAGGTGGAACATCGATTGCCATAGTGTAATGTTGTGGCCAATAACTCCTGACCATATACTAAGTACCTAGGGATGGAAGGATAAGGTGGAACATCGATTGCCATTGTGTAATGTTGTGGCCAATAACTCCTGACCATCAACTAAGTACCAAGGAATGGAAGGATAAGGTGGAACATTGATTGCCATAGTGTAATGTTGTGGCCAATAACTCCTGACCATCTACTAAGTACCAAGGGATGGAAGGATAAGGTGGAACATCGATTGCCATAGTGTAATGTTGTGGCCAATAACTCCTGACCATCTACTAAGTACCAAGGGATGGAAGGATAAGGTGGAACATCGATTGCCATAGTGTAATGTTGTGGCCAATAACTCCTGACCATCTACTAAGTACCAAGGGATGGAAGGATAAGGTGGAACATTGATTGCCATAGTGTAATGTTGTGGCCAATAACTCCTGACCATCAACTAAGTACCAAGGGATGGAAGGATAAGGTGGAACATTGATTGCCATAGTGTAATGTTGTGACCAATAACTCCTGACCATCAACTTAGAACCAAGGAATGGAAGGATAAGGTGAAACATTGATTGCCATAGTGTAATGTTGTGGCTAATAACTCCTGACCATCAACTAAGTACCAATGGATGGAAGGATAAGGTGGAACATTGATTGCCATAGTGTAATGTTGTGACCAATAACTCCTGACCATCTACTAAGTACCAAGGGATGGAAGGATACGGTGGAATATTGATTGCCATAGTGTAATGTTGTGACCAATAACTCCTGACCATCAACTTAGTACCAAGGAATGGAAGGATAAGGTGGAACATTGATTGCCATAGTGTAATGTTGTGGCCAATAACTCCTGACCATCAACTTAGCACCAAGGAATGGAAGGATAAGGTGGAACATTGATTGCCATAGTGTAATGTTGTGGCCAATAACTCCTGACCATCAACTAAGTACCAAGGGATGGAAGGATAAGGTGGAACATTGATTGCCATAGTGTAATGTTGTGACCAATAACTTCTGACCATCTACTAAGTACCAAGGGATGGAAGGATAAGGTGGAACATTGATTGTCATAGTGTTATGTTGTGACCAATAACTCCCATCCATCAACTAAGTACCAAGGGATGGAAGGATAAGGTGATAGCAATATAGGGTATATAACTTACATTTCTCATTTGTTTAATATATATATAGCAGATCTTAAAAATTCTAGAAATATCATGATAATAGAAAGACCTTATCATAATTTCACCCCCCAAGGGTGACTGGGGAATAGAAATATATAGTTACCATTGGTATTCCTCTGACCAGCGGTAAAACCCTTGCTAAAGTGGGGCGTCCGTTTGGCTGTGTGGGATGTAAAAATTTGCAGCCACGTCCGGTCAGAACAGGGACGTTAAATCTGATGCCTCGTGTGAAGAGAGTGCCATGTTCTTTGCACGTTAAGAACCCATGCAACAACTCTTTGAGGGGTCTGTAGGTGGCCTGTTGCAAGGCTAAATTTCTGTCCTTATCCAATATACTCTCATTTTCCTGTGGCAGTCCAAATTTCCCTGACCTTCATCCAAGACGGCCTCTATTACAGGACCTACCTATTGTATTTATTGTTAACTTGTTTTCGTCCTGAACATGCATTAAATATTTGCCACTGGACGTTAAGCAGCCAACAATCAATCAATCAATCATTATTTCATTATAATCAGATGAAAACTATTTGATTGAATCTTGTTCCTTCTCTGCATGAAATACCATGTCTTATATTCTTATAAAATTTTTTAAAAAGATTTACCATAACCAATCCAATATTGTGTGATAGTTTTATTGCTGGATATACTTTATCAGTAAGTTTTAACAGGAGAGGAGTAACAACATGGTAGGTGTCACTGCTGGAGCATGCTGACCCTATACCACTGTTTTAGCTAGGGTTTGTGTTAATGAATCTTTATATTTATGTGGGCTGTTTTGGGGATTGTTGTTTGTCTTTTCAACAATTTTATTTTTGGCCATTGAATTGTCTGTTTTATTCCATTTATTGTTTATGATTGCCCCCTTTGTATTTTCTCCCTCTTTTAACACCCATTAAAAGTAAAGATGCTTATTATGTACACAGGCAACAGAGCTATGGAAAACTAGCAATACACAGATACATCTGTAATAACAAAAATTGAGATTAGTTTTCTAAGTGATGTCTCTTTGTAGCTAGTTTCCTTTATGATTTCTTGTTGTTTCTTTGGTATCTTTCCATTTTTCTTACAATTTGGTCAAAGCAATATCTTCAACAGTTTCATTTAATTGTTATTTCCTATGCCCAGATAAATCAGTAAAAGGAGACAATGAAGATCTGGTTTATGAACCATTCAGAACCAATAGCTATTCACACTTTTAACAAAAATACTAAGAATGGGCAACAAAACTAAATCAGGCAAAATGATAAATTTGTCCAAATTTTTTTTTATCAATTAAAGCTTATCATCAAACTTTAGTCAGGAAGTGTCTTTACAAGTCATGTAAAAAAGTGTTTTCCTAATTAGTAGCAATTCTCTGTAACCACTGACCACATTTTGACACACATATTCTCAGAATTTCCTGAAACCTTGTTAGTTGATAGCTATTGATAAACATACGTTGTTCAGTGGTTGTTGTTTGTTGGTGTGGTTCATAAGTGTTTCTCGTTTCTCGTTTTTTACATAGATTAGACCGTTGGTTTTTTCCTGTTTGAATTGTTTTACATAAGCCATTTTGGGGACCTTTATAGTTTTCTGTTCTGTGTGAAGGCCGTACTTTGACCTATAATTGTTTATGGTAATGGATATCCTTGGATTTTAGATTAAAATTACATATTATGACTTAAATAAATGACAAACTTAGAGTAGTTCTCATAAAAACATTTCAATTTTAATGAGATTTTGTTCATTAATATATAACATTTAATTGGTAAGACAAAAGATATTATTTGCTTTTCTTTTTTCACACATGTGCTCAGTAATTCAACTGACCTTCAAACTGAACAGTGGACGAGTTCATGTTATTTTTTATCAATGAAACAAAAGGTATGAAAGGTTGAAATTGCAAGTTCATACTTTTTCACAAAACTGTCATAATATAAAGCAGATATCTGTTTTGCTGTGACACAATACCACAGGATAGATAGTGGCATAATGATACCATTGGAAGCAGACTGTTAAGTCTTTTTGCTTGACCTAATGTAATAGCCCTAATACATGTTGTACTTACAATTACACGTCTACTGTAATCAGAGGCTTCACTCTGCTCAATGTAGGGATTATAAGGTGCTGCATTCACAGTAAGAATGTCATTTTCACTGGAACCTGATATAACAGATGTTGATAGATAGAAATTAAAACAGAATATTTCTAAAAAAATATTCAAAGAAACTTGAAATACAGGAAAAGGTTGTGTAAGTTTGATGGGTGCTACATGTATTATTCTTTTTTTTTGGTTGGAAAATAAGACTACTTTTTTATTTTTGTACATAAGTGACAAAACAAATAGATTTTGAAAATTCAAAACTGTGAAAAAATGGAAAGTATAATGTATTGGTTAATCAGGATTTTGTGTCTTTGAAATTGCAGTATCATACATTTTTGTTGAGCCTGCAACTTTTGTCGCAAAAGCGAGACAAAGCGATCCTACATTCCGTTGGCGGCGGCGTCCACAAATATTCACTCTGTGGTTAAAGTTTTTGAAATTTTAATAACTTTCTTAAAAACTATCCTGGATTTCTACCAAACTTGGACAGAAGCTTGTTTATGATCATAAGATAGTATCCAGAAGTAAATTAAATTTTGTAAAAAAAAACAAAATCCTGTTTATCCATATTTTACTTATAAATGGACTTAGTTTTTCTGCCAGTTAACATTACATTCACTCTGTGGTTAAAGTTTTAAAAATTTTAATAGCTTTCTTAAACTATCATGGATTTGTACCAAACTTGGACAGAAGTTTGTTTATGATCAAAAGCTAGTATCTAGAAGGAAATTTTGTAAAAACTTATTTCCTGTTTTTCCATATATTACTTATAAATGAACTTAGTTTTTCTTCCAGTTAACATTACATACAGTCTGCAGTTAAAGTTTTTAAAGCATTTATTAGATTCATAAACCATCCTGGATTTTTACCAAAATTTGTTCATTCAATAAATTTATATTTCAACTCTTTTATAAATCTATAGATTTGATTGCATACTGTATTCATTTTTTACAAGCATAACTTTTTTCATATTGTTTAATTTATCATTGCTATGTTCATTAAATAATTTTCTATTCATATACATTTTTTCCAAATATGTAAACCGAAGTACATGGGGGCAATGACACGAAGACAGTACAAAGTATCCCTATGCACTATTTGCAAATGTAAAAACTTTTGCGGGTAACAATAACTGCAGGTAACAATAAAAATATGATATGTATGAAATTAGGTCCCTCTCCGGAAATACATTATGGCAATTAGTCTCGGAAGTAACAATAATTATTTCTTATTGTTACTTTTTGCGGGTTACCGTAGCCAGTGCCTTGTAAGTATACATATAAATATTTTTATAAAGAATGCAAAGAAAACTGCAACAAAATCTGATAAAAATATATAATCGTACATGTACATCAAAACTTAAGAAAATAAGTGTTGTGATCTTCCCCTTTTGCATGTTTTCCAGGAACAAGTGCCTATCAATAATTTAAGCAGTATGAGTTTTTGTGGTAAAAGTTTGCATAATGAATATGAACCTGAATATAATATCACTACTTTACCTTTCTTTGTATTGTCATTTTTTGAAATTCTCCTGAAGACTGTTGTTCTCTTTTCATCATTTTCCAACAAACTTTCTTCTGCATCAGACTGAAAGCTGGTATTGGTAACAGGTTTACGAGCATTGGCCCTTTTCCTTCTTGACAACTTGCATGTTAACCCAATGTTTGTATGTTTGTGTTTGGTTGATGCCATAACTTAAACATAAAATTAAACAAAACTGTGTAATTAAATATTGTGTATATATACTTTAACACCTAACTGTCTGGCCTGCATACCAAGGAATCTTTATTATGGAATATTCCTTGGGTCTGAGACTACTATAATGTAGAAAGGCGTCAAAGAAAAAAATTAAAATAGCCTTTCAAGACGTCATTATTATTTGGACTACTATAACGTGTGTTATAGTAATCAGGTAATCTCAGCTTGGGTACCATTTTTCGTGGATTTTGTGGTTAAGGTTCATCATAACAAATGGACAAATATGGCCGTATTTTCACCTAAAAAACTACTCTGTGTACAGACTTACCTGTGCAGTTTGGAAAGTTTTAAGGCCTGGCATCTACTAGATATATAAAAGTTAAATTTATTTTGCATATCAGAAAGATAAAATCTTTTTTTGGATTATGATGGGCATTTTTTCTCCTTCCTGCAGAAGGTGTAAAAATAAACAAACACCTGAATTGCATTTGATACTGTCCACTCAGTTACTACCTTTAACTCACCTTTAGATGTGTAGATATCTATTGTCCATGCCAATCAAGGACAATCAATACAATACAAATCAGTTGTTACCTGAGAGGGAGCATCTCAAAATTATATCCCAACTTAGTTTATTTTTACACCTTCTGCAGGAATGGAAAAAAAATTTCCTATTCGCATGTTCCAGTATGTAGACTTTTGTTAAACCAGGAAATAAACATGATAAAGTATCCACAAAAATATTTAATGTACTGACCCGATATCATTCCATGACCAACTGATAAAAAGGATTTTTGTTTACCATTTCATGATTTGTAAGTTTTGAACAATTATGTCTGCACACCATGTACAAAGTTGAAATTAGGGGGTTAAAGTATTTCAGATTAACATCATTTTGTTGTATTTTTTTTTGGAAGAATTCTTGTTAAAAATTATCTATTTTAAAAATACCCGCGTGTTTCAGGTCCGTCGTCCTATTTCCTAACATATTGATTAAATAACAAATAATTTGATTGGTCAGGGATAAACAAGTATTTTGTTTCAAAAAGCTTGTCTGACTTTAACATTTATTTACATGCTATGGGGTGTTAAAAGATAACAGACTCTCGACATTTCTATGGAAACCCATTGTGCTCCTCTACTCATGTTCTTCTTCCTTTATTATATATAAAAAATAAGGGGAAAAACACGACATTCATTTTAAAAAAATGCTGTATGCATTGGAAAAAAAATCGTTTGTTGTTTAATAAAGTCCGAAAAAGACTGTTCTGAGAAAGACACATTCCCCAGAAACCGTATACAATGTGAGTGTTTGGTAATAAAGACGTATCTCATATCGATACTAACATTCCTGACACTAAACATCTATTTTTACATATTCTTTTCAGACCGATTTTAGTTGGTAATTTCTTTCCTGATCAGAAGATTTCTCTTGTTAATCGATCTTGATCCTGTCATGGAAGTAATATTGAAAGGAATAACAACGTCGTCACTTCAAAGGTTTCATCTGCGTTACCGCCCATCTTTCGATAACTCGTTAATTGGTTTAATATATGGCATGGTAATTGACTCTCGGCATGTGATAGATCAAATCACTGACACTTTTCGGTCATTTTCGTGTTCCCGGAAAATTACGAATAGACCAGTTGTTGTCGTATGTACGTACGAAGTAACCCGAATAGTTCACTCGTTACATTCCGCTGCTCTACGCTACCGAATAGAGTCAGTCATTCAATGTTGATTTTAGTCTATTTTTCCTATTTATGTCTTTTTCGATCTTAATAGTTTAGGCCGACAGTTATCACATATTGAATTTAAGAAAAAGGGTGGATCATTTTCAATTTTAATACTTAAAACCATGCAGTTAATTAAGAAGACATTTCTGAAAGTTAAGAAGATGATTGTACAAAAAATATGTTTCGACCCCCTTTTATTAAATACGAATAATCCAAGTCTTCCGTGTATACCAGGCAAATTAAATATTCACAATTTTAAACGTTTCTATTCTTTAATTTGTACATAAACAAATTCATATAAAATAAATTTGCGGTTAGACAGATAGCGTCAAGCTCGTTTTGTATGGTTGATTTTCTTTTTGCTGTAACGTGCTACATTAATATTAGTATTCAATTGTAAACACTTTTTTAAAATAGATATAAATTTAACATGTTTACGAACTTTTGATCCCGATTTTCATTGTCCAGTTTCAATAACGTAATCAATTACTTGAAAGTAAATATTTTTATAAATCTCGATAAACTTGGCACATTTCAACAGTAAAATATTCTATGTCTACATCTGTCTACATTATTTTGTTCAACATCATGTGAAGCCTGATCGATTCATCGGTATTTAACTATTTTACTCGGGATCCGCTTTTAACCGGAAAATACTTTTAGAACAGTTTAAAACAAACGGTAAAAAGCAAAAATATGCTAAATTAAATACAATTTTCCAAGCTAAACTGTTGTAGGTTGAACAATTCTCGTCCGTTTTTCAAGTTTTTTACATCATACGACTTCTTTCTGAAGGTAGAGGTTTTATATGATACAGCGCCACCTTCTTATTAATAAACCTCGGATTTCACACAGGTGCTTTATAATTACCGGACTCGATAAAATCACGTGACTGATAAGAAATTCCAGATGCCATTTTACAACCGCGGTATCACAGATAGTAACCAAAGGGGTCTTGCCGCTGAGACTATAATTGGATAAAATCATATGACTTTAGTACAGAGCTCTGCAGGCTGTTAATACATGCTAATTAGTCGTTGTTATTCCTTTTAAATATTACTTCCATGATCCTGTAATATTGTATTTGAAATCAATAAATATATTCGTATTAATTCCAACCAGCTTGTAGATGTACATGTTGTTTACATAAATGATTTTGGATATAGACATTACACAAAGGTGTCAATATTTACACACCCATCGATAAGTTGTCATAAATCACGCATGTTGAAGCTGGGGTTAACCACTTTAGGAAGTCAAATCAAGCTGTGCCTTGATTTTAGATCTAGATATCTACATAAACAGATACAGTAGCAATAAAACTATGTTAGAAATTTTTTTGGTGACCCCGACTGGGGGGCACGTGCCCCCTCTGCCCCCGGTAAATCCGCCACTGCTGTCATAAGATTTCTTTCAGGTTCCATTTACACATAACTGAATTCTATTCCATATGTACATGGGGTATAATAATGTCCCATTGTTATATGCACATATGTAGTACTTACTGCATTTGCAAATGCATAACAGAAATATAATTTAAGATTTATTTAAATTTTTTTTTTTTTTGCTTTTTCATTGTGTTTTTTTTTTTTACTTTTTAAAAATCTCCAGTGTACTTACAGGAGCATTTATATATTTAGCTGTCAAATTTATTTTCACCGGCTTGGACCAAATTCTCATATTTCATTTATAACATACTAAAACGTCAAATTACAAAAAAGTCCATAAGAATCAATTAACAATGCATGGACTGGTTATTATGTAGCAGTATTTCGTATTTAGACACTTTTATAAAGTTATTTTCACAAATGTATTTATTATCATTTTTTCAACTAATATATCTATCATGTAGATTTCATAGAAATAGCCAAATAAAAATATATAAACAAAAAATTAAAGATATTTTCTTCAAAATAGCAACCGTTGCCATGGAAATGTGTTCAGAATACACTTTTTAATGTAAATTTCCTCACATTTCATTTGAATTTTCTCAGAAACAGCAACAGTATACAAACTCATCAAATATATTTACATTATATAGGAGACCTATAGTAGAATAACGGCCAAAGAAGTTGGGAATTTTTCAACTGCTGTAGGTGGCAGCACCATCATAATAGTGGATTTTGTTGTTGTCTATGTGTTCTTTATGTGTCCATTAAAAAAGTAACAATCTTTAATGTTTTTAATAAATATAGGCAACAAGAAATGTTGTATCCCTTGTCAGCTGTTAAGGATTTGGAATCGTTAAGGGATCTATTATCAGAAATAATTTTCTCTAAGTTTGTTTTCACACGTTCCACTGGTTTCTGAAGTGAAATATTTTTAGTCAATCAGTCATTTTGTTTTGTTTCACCAACACTGATCGTCTGTTCACCATTAAATAATGAATCTTCTCTATGAACCATACAGAGATCACTCTTGCAAGATTTCTGATCAGAAGTGCAAGTAGTTTAATAAAATATTATTGAAACAGTAAACTCGCGAAGGCCAAGTGATGGTAAACGGTCATATGGTCCTTTGTCAGGTGAGATTAAACTTCAAATATTGACCTGGAAGCATGTGAAATTACAAAGTACATATTACTTTGTTTGATTGAAAAGGTATAACGTAACCTTTTAGCTTGATCAAAGTGGCCAGTTTCAATGATAGAGGAAGCCAGAGGGTGCATTATCCATAGAGTTAGTAGGTAATACCGTTTCTAAAAATCTTAAAACTTGATCTAACTGTCTATTTAAAAACGTTCATAATACTGACAGAACGTTTATCTTAACGTCAAAATTTTGCGTGTCAGACGTAACACACTATGCGCATAGGAATTTTTACAGGAGTGTTTGCGCTCTTCAGGAGAAGATGAAATTGCGAAAATTTGCATGAATTTTCTATGGCATATTTCATTAATGATTTTATTAACAAATTTACACTGACTCTACGACCAAACGGATTTTTGGCAAAAATGAATAGTTTTCACCATGGTCAGATTTTAGAAAATGTTAATTTATCAAAATTGATGTGTTTTTTTTTAATATATTACGGTGATATGTTGATTCGTTTTGATAGATGCTGTTAATAAAAGCACATACTATTGATAGATCGTTTCCAACCCGATTTGTTTACAACATTCACGCCACAAATGAAAACGCAGCGGTATTTAGTAAATGTCTTGAAGAATGTCCAATGGCGAATTTCGCCGCTGTACACATGCAAACTGTCAGTAGCGACATCATTAATTGAAATATAGGATTCCAGGTATACACTATAGTGCTTTTCTGTAATTGTACTTGAACTCTTTAAAACGATTACATACTTTTTGATAGTTTGCTTACTCAATAAAACTTCGTTCTTGAAGAATTCAAATGTCTTGCAAGTTTGTTCACTCGACGATTTCAGTACGTTTTAAACGTTACATCGTTTCGGAACGCTTTTAATGTCTTTTCGAAATCAAATCGAAATTAAGTTATTTGAATTTCTTATTTAAACGTGTTATTTGTTTATTTTAATTTCTTAAATGCTTTTAAAATAAAAAGCACACTTCGACCTCATTAATTTTAAGACTAGATTAGAAAACAGAATAAAGTACTGTCAGATGTAATATGCAAACGATTGAAACAAAGATAACAAATTAAAAACAACGTTTTTTTTTAATAAATAACCTATCGAAATAAAATATATAGCAATTTGTCAATAGATAAGTAGAATAATTATTTTAAAACTTTAAACCCGATGACCAGAATCGCAAAATACGACAAACTTATATCCACACACTCACTCCGATTCAAATCTTCTACTCCCATACATATCGTGATAAAACTGTGATATAAACTTTTCAAATGTAGAGATACATGATTGTGATAAAATGCAATTTATTAGGGGGACATGCTCCAAACTGTAAGCTACTCAAATTATGATACAAAAGAAGAGGAGGAGGGGGGAATACCTTTTCTGTTAACCTGTTTTGGGCTATTTCAAGGTGTTGTTAACTGTTATTTGATATATATATAAACTGTTAACTGTTTTCAACCCACTGTCTGTTCTGTTAAGATTGGCAATGTTGTTAACTGTTTTATATGAAAATGGGATTCCTGTTATCTGTTATTTGACACTTAAAGTGTTAACAGTTTTTGACATAATTTATCTCTGTTATCTGTTATTTACAAGAATTTTCAAGATTCACACTAATCACATTAAATTTGCTGTTTATTTCTTTCTTTACGGTTCTCCCTCAAAGGAGTAACATAAACATCACAT